TGGTTTAAGAAGTGATCGGATTCTCAAGGAAGGGCCCAAAGGCATGTTTCTCTGTACAAAAGGCATGTTTCTCTGTTCAACTTTCTACTTTGAGAAAAGAAAATTACTCCCATCTCTTCTTCAAAAATCATCTTGCTTTGTCTCTTGGGATGCCATAAAAACAATCTCCACATGCAGCCCAACAAAGATATTAATTAAACAAAAGGGCCAGTTACATGAAGGGGCTGTTTCCCATTTAGGATTTGGATTGGCAATTTATCCAGAAACAGAACAAAAGGGGCCCATGGTACTGGTTCATCTGCAAGTCACTGGGGAGTAAATATCTGCCTCCCAGTTCCCAAAGACCCTCTGACTTTGGTCCTACTTGTGCTAACCAATCAGCATCTTCTTCAGAGGAGGCCTGCTCTGAGAGAATCCTTTACTCTGTCTACCAGGACTCAGCCAGCAGAGCCAGCTAGCGCAGGTCTCCTTCGGATCTGCAGTGGATCTTACCTCACTACCAACTTCTGCTGCCCAGAGAAATCCAGCAATGCGTTACCTCCAGCATAGATAAAGGCAATAGAAAATGCCTCTGTAGATAGAAGCTCAAAAGGCACAATACTAAACTAAGAGCATACCTACACGTGACAAAAGACTAGAATTCCTGAGGGGACCACTAAGTTAGCTGCAAGCACACAGCTGTCTTATTCAAGTCTCATGAATACAAATCATCTTCCTTCTGCTCCAGGATCTGGCAAAAATTCCACTTCCTTGACCCGACAGGGTTGGGGCACTATCAGCCACTCTGTGTTGTTTTTAATAGACTGGTCTATTTTAAATGCAATTGATCACGATGGCCATCTCTCTTACATTTATCTTTCTTGGAGAGTATATGCCCACAGAAAGCCAGTGCCAAGTAAGAAATTTCCCTCCTTGCAGTCTTAGAAATTGAACATTATACCTCTAGCAAGAAGCACAGATAAGAGAAGCCCAGCCCAGAGTGGCTGGCAAGAAAGGGACAGAAATAATTTCCAGACCTGGGTCTGGCTCTTGGTTTTATAGCTAGGAGGTAGGTGATCCCATCTCTACAGAAATGGCAAGAACTAGTTCACTTGCCTGAGGCTCTGTGAATAATAATGATGCTGCTTTGTGACATCATAAAATTATATTCCCAATATTAACTCACCTTAACTCACTCTCCCAGAAAACATGTGCAATCCGAACTTCCGAAAATCAGTATTTTCAGATTTTCAGAAAATCAGAACCAGACTACACTTGGAACAGTTTCATTTTTGCCAAAGCAACAGTTCCAAAGAGCTGCTACATTGTGGTTATGCCAACATTTCAGATCACTAGCAAATCTTTTACCTACTTGATGGCATCTGTCTGCACTGGGAACTCAAAGGATAATTGGTGTATTTTGTCCTTAATCAAGCAGTGAGTTCTTCCCTTGCTCTGTCTAGTTAAAGCAGCTTTAAAACACTTTGAATGAAGAATCATGCACGCAAAGTCTGCATGGAGAAGAGCCCAGGTAGCAAGCACACCTTCCCAGATGCTCAGGAGCCCTCTATCCTGAGACACTAGCATCAGCGGCTGCAGCTGGCAGTGTTTCTAGGATTGCTGGCCTTCCCAGTCTCTGGGTCAGGTACTCAGCAATGGCCAAACAAGTGATTTGATACACTAAAGATGTCTGGTTTTGAGCCAGGCATAAGGCACACACTTGGAATCTGAGCACTTGGGAGGGTGAGGAAGAACAACAATCATGTCAAAATGAACATATGTTATGTAACAAGAGCCAAGAGTCTTTTTCAAAAAGAAAAACAACCAGAAATAGGGAGGAGGGGGGAGGGGAGAAAGGGAGGGAGAAAGAGAGAGAGAGAGAGAGAGAGAGAGAGAGAGAGAGGAGAGAGAGAGAGAGAAAGGGGAGGGAAGGAAGAAAGGAAGGAGGGAAGGAAGGGAAGAAAGAAAGAAAGAAAGAAAGAAAGAAAGAAAGAAAGGAAGAAAGAAAGAAAGAAAGAAAGAAAGAAAGAAAAAGAAAAGAAAAGAAAATCAGTCTGATTTTAAAACCTACTTTGGTGAAAATACCCATTCCCCTCTACTTGAAACATGCTCACTCTTTCACCCTTAAATCTGAACAAGCTATAGTTTCCCTCTTTGGTTTCCTATGGTTCAATAGTTTCGATGGTTTCTCATTTCACTATAAAATCAGGTGCAATTTTAAAACTTTTACACAAGTTGCTGCTTCCCCAGAGTAACACATAGGATAAAGCCATTCTTAGGAACATCACTTGGACATTTCTTTAAAGCATGGACCTTGTTCTCATATGCTGACTTTAAAACAACAACAACAACAACAACAACAACAACAACAACAACAGTTTTTTTTAAGATTTGTAAAATGTGTATGAATGAAATTTGCCTTTATGCATATAGGTATATGCATATAGGTGTACCATGGGTGTGCCTGCTGCCTGTGGAGACCAGGAGACCCTTGTGGGCCACTGTGTGGGTGCTGGGACTGAACTCAAGTCCTCTGCAGGAGGAGCCAAGCTCTCTACCACTGAGCTATCTCTCCAGCTCCTTCCCCACATTTATACAATTTAAAAAGATTATTTGGTAAACCATTTGTAAAATGAGGAGGCCTTTTGTCTTTCACATGACAATCTTTTTTGTAAAATATCAGAGGAACTTGCCCTAACATGGCTCCAAGTCATAGTCCTTTCAGGTCCTGCTTATAAATGGCAGACATTCCTCTACGTCTTGAAGATGGGACATCCAAAATCAAGGCATGGGTGAATCCAGTGTCTACCAAGAGCCCATTTCTTAGATAATCTTGGCTTCCTTGTGACATCATGAGGTAAGGAGGATTGAGTCTGGTTTCGTGGATCTTTTAAAAAAATAATAATGACCAATCCAAATCATAAGGCCATAGTTGTCACCTCCTAAAACCATCGCATTGGGGGTCAGGACGTGAACATACAGATCTGAGGTGACACAACTGGCCTATAGCACTAGATTAAACACTGTGCAAAGCAGGAGGAGATCGTCTCATCTTGCTTGGATCCCTCCCTCCTCTGACTTTACTAGGAGAGAGAAAGTATAATCAGAACACACTACTGTTATACAATAAGAATATTGTGAGACGACAATTAATTGGCTTACAATAAGCCAATGAGGAAAAAAGACAAAAAGGGACTTTCTTATTACTCCCTTATAGTTATTTTAAAGTGAAAATACACAAAGTTGATAAGGTTGTAATAAAACTAATAAACTCCTAAGTCCTTTTGTTCATAAACTTATGATCATGCATGTGTAGCCCTGTATATGCCACACGCATGTAGATGCCAACAGAGGTCAGAGGAGGATGCTGATCCCCTAGAGCTGGAGCCAGAGGGCACTGGGAGTCTCTTGACATAGAGAAGGGCAGCAAGGGCTCTCAACTTCTGAGTCATTTCTTCAATTCCCATGAATCTTTTGACCATGTAAATTAACACAACTTTTGTTGAATTCTAGTTTAGTAAGAAAAAATGAAAGCTATAGAGAAATGTTATAGTGTTTTATCATAAGGTTTTCTTAACTTTTAGCCTTAGGGAAATAAAACAAAACAAAAACTGCATGTATAAAAATATATAAAATACAATAATTGGAATATTATCTTTAATTGGATAAAAGAAAAAACATGTGGTACAAAGGACCCAAGGCCTCTCGAACACTGAGTTATTTCCCCAGAAAATATGTGTATCATGATCATGTCAAGATAATTAAATGGGCCAAAGCAATAGACTGACTAAATAAATTCAGACATGTCAACTCAGGGAAATCATTACTTCCTATAACAACATGAAAAGTGCTTAGGAATTCCTGTTTGATCAAATGTTTCTAGATTACCATACCTGCTAAGTCACATATACATACCTGTGGCAGAGACAACGAGAATGTACTAGAAACTATAGAACTATGGGTTATATTTCTTCTAAGCATTTTCTTCTGGCTAGTCAGGGTAGGAGGGTTACCCAGCACCTCAAGGGCCCAAGCTCAACTGCAGCACCAAAGAAGAACAAAGAAAGAAACCTACACTGGCTTGTCAGTTAGATACAGGCATGGGAAACTAACTAGTATAGTCACAAACCGTGAGTGGGAAAGCTGCAGAACATTGTCCTGAAGCTGCCTACGAAACATGACTGTTCCTCTCATCTTCCTACATTAGGGGAGTTTCCACAGTGGCTCCACACAGCTGCCCTCTCTGTCTTCAAGGGCCTCTGAGGAACAAAAGCTAGACCCACCAAGCCAGCCTCCATCTTAACACTGCACCTCCCCAGCTGTCCAGCCCCAAGAACTCGGCACAAGGGGCAGACACTGCTGCCAGAAACTGAGATTTCCCAGGCTAGCCGGGCTGTAATTACTAGAAGCAATGCCAAAAACAACAAAAGAGCTGCAGGGAGACTGTGCTAAAGACTCCACCCCCCAGTTTTAACTATGTGCCTATTCTTTTCTCCTCACCTCACCCCACCCCATCCTCCTAAGCCCCACAGCTTCACACACAGGAAGAAGCTTGAGGGAGGACATGCAGCAAGCCACTGCCAGTCACCTTTGAGGGACAGAGGGGCTGCTTGCTCTTTGAGCCACCAGGAAATGAGATGGTCCCAGACCAGTGTGCCAGCGTGTGTGTGTGTGTGTGTGTGTGTGTGTGTGTGTGTGTGTGTGTGTGTGCTGGGAGGATTGAAGGAGGAACTACAAATAAAGCAATAACCGCTTCCAGCCTCTAAAGATATGTTACAAGAGCTCCTTTCATGAGACCTTGTGACAAGTTCAGGTTGAGCTCTGTAATTCTCTCCTAGCTTCAGAAAGCCTCCCTGTTCAAACAGCAGTCTCAGCACTGCAGAACGCTCCTACATGCCCAGCCTGCTCTGAGCTGGGGCAGGTCTCTGCCAGGCTGCAATACCTTTTGGCACCACAATAATACTGGGGCAGCAGAGGTCTCCTCAGGCATGAGTGCTTCACCCTCTTTGAAAGGGACTTACCTTCATAAGAAGCAACGGGAGCTCTTCTGTCACAAGCATTATTCCAGGAATTTCCTATGGGGTGGGGGAGGTGCATACAAGAAACATATCAACCACCCCAGGCTCCTTCTATGGGGGATATACATGCAACATTTTGACAACCCTCCGCCCCAGGCCTCCTCAGGAAATGTCTTCTGCATAGACAGGAGCTGAGGACAGCAAGCTTCCTGTGTGATAACCTCTACTTTAAATAACGTCCTAATGTAAAATAACAGGACACAGCATGTCTCTTGCCCTGGAAAAGGAAATATGCTTTAAATAGTAGCTGACAGGTTCTCTAAGGAGGGAGAAGAGATTATTGTGAGAAAATACAGAATACTGTATTTTCAGACATTCCTTCTTAAGAACAAATGAGGCAAATTTATATTTGAACCACTAAAGTCATAATTAAATGAAACCATCCCATTGTCTGCAGACTGTCCCTCCTCATCTGCAGCATTAACTGATCCTTTCCTCTCTAGAGGGAACCAAAGTCAGTGGGGTTCTCACACACTGAGGCCCACCATGACCTCAGGACCTCAGTGCCCCATAAAGAGTTTCTGCGCAGTGCAACAGCCAAGCTAAAACATGCTCTGTTCATGACAGGAAGCCCACCACAGCATTCTGCTAACTAGTGAACGCTGCATCAAGCTTAGTGCGCCGGGGTTGAATGTCTAATCCCAGACAAGGGAGATAGAGGCTGGAGGATCAGCACTTCAAGGCCATCCTCAGCTCCATACTAAGTTTGAGTCCAGCCTTAGCTACATGAGACCCTGTCCATTAAGGAGGGGGGCGTAATTTAAAAGGATAAGCTTTCCATATTGCCTTTACCTCATTGATACTATGAAAAATGTATCTGTATGTTAACTATGAAGTCTGCCTTTCTGCCAGTCAGTTCGGATTTCCTTCAAAACATACGTCAGAGAAACCCACTTAGGAGTGCTTTGTGAATAGCTGGATCATAAGGATACACTATTCCATGGGAGGGACATCTGAGCCAATAGAGAAGCAAGATAGGTGGGGCTAGGAGTCAAGGAAGATTCTGGGAAATGTAGTAAAGAGGAGAGTTGCCATGTGATCCCGGGGAAAAAGAGGACAAATGCCGCTGGCGTCCTCGATAAGATAAGTCTTTATAAAATATATAGATTAATGGTTATGGTTGATACTTAAGACAGACGTAGCAAATAAGAAATCCTAGTCATTGGCCAGCAGCATTGTAATTAATATTAATCTCTGTATGTTATTTGGGGGTCCTAATGTGGCAGTGGAACTCAGGTGGCTGGCGGAAAGAATTATAGTTACAGTTAATGTTGATTCTCAGCTTGGCAGCACCTAGAACAACCAGAGATAGACCTCTGGATATGTCTGTGAGACATTACCTAAATTAGGGGAACTGAGGTGGAAAATGACCTACCATACAGGAATCACCACTTCTTGTGGGTCCTGAACTGCATAAGGAGGATAAATCCAACAGGACAGGAGTGTTTGCTGTTCTCTTAACTCTTGACTGTGGTGCAGGGTGAGCCGCTGCTGCCACCATGCTTTTTCCACCATGCAGGACTTTATCTCCTAAAACTGAAAGACTGTATCCCCTGAAACTGAAGGACTGTATCCCCTAAAACTGTGGGACTGTATCCCCTAAAAGTGAAAGACTGTATCTCCTAAAACTGAAGGACTGTATCTCCTAAAGCTGAAGGACTATATCTCCTAAAAGTGAATGACTGTATCCCCTAAAACTGTAGGACTATATTCCCTAAAACTGGATGCAAAATACCCACTCCCTTTTGTCAATTGTTTCTTGTGGCATTATTTTGCTACAGCAACAAGAAAAGTAACCTATGTAAGTAAGTTCTAAATAGCATTTTAAACAGCACAACTGTAACATTTTAAAATAACCATAATTACAACATACACTTTAGAATTAGCTATGAGCAAGAACATTCTAATTTCTAGTATCTTACTTAACTGTATATAAGTCCATTGAAATGTACAGACTTTGGATGTGGTTAACTTCAGTGAGTGGGTTTTGTTTTTTGGGTTTTTTTCCCAAGTTATTTATTTATTTATTTATTTATTTATTTATTTTTGGTTTTTCGAGACAGGGTTTCTCTATGTAGCTTTGGAGCCTATCCTGGAACTCACTCTGGAGACCAGGCTGGTCTTGAACTCACAGAGATCCACCTGCCTCTGCCTCCCAAGTGCTGGGATTAAAGGTGTGCACCACCAACGCCCGGCTACAAGTTATTTTTTATAATAATGCTTATTTGTAAAATCCAGTTGCTAGTAGGTATGGTGCTACACACTTGTGGTCCCAGTGAGAAGCTCCTAGGCTAGCTAACCTGAGCTACATAGTGAATTCTTTGTATCAAATTTTTTAAAAAATCCATGTTTATCTTTCTATCCAGATGTGTGAACTTGCTATTTCCCCCTGTAGAAACTTTTTAAGGTTGTAGCATTAGGGATCATTGTAGACTGGGGAAAGGAAGAGTAAATCTTACATCATTGCTAACAATGAATATAAATGCTTAGAACTTTGGGATTAGAGGATGCCTTTTAAGGTAACTTACTCTAACCACAAGAAATTTTAAAACATCTCAGTAAACCCCAAGATAAGTCTAGTGTATAGAGGTTATAACTGTGGGTTTCTCTGAATTTTCTTGTGGGACATCAGATGTCATTGTGTATATGTTCATTAAGTCTCCAGAGAGCCTTGAGAAATGAACAAATGAACCACTGCTCATTAGGATGGTGGCTTCACACAGCATCCAGCCCAGGAACCACTGGCTCCGAGCCTGCCTCTCCACACTTCAAACAAAGAGCAGTGGTTAGAAGCAGAGGTAGCTGAGCTGCATATTTCCTGACCCAATGGTGTAACCTGCAGACTTCCTGCCACATAACCACAGTGTCTGCCTATACATCCGTAAGTCATCTAAAAGAAAAACAACGGCGTGGGTGCCTAGAAAAAGGAGAAGCCTGGGTCTTTCCCCTTACAGTGTTACACTGAAGTAAAGAAATATATTAACAGTAATCCAAAAAACAAGCAGAGAAGGCCTTGAGAATGGGGGGGGGGACTACTACTGTAAGCAACAAAAACTTAGAAAAGAATCAAACATCTCAGGGTATGGTGGTACATGCACTTGGGAGAGGCAGAAGGATAAGGAATTTAAGGGTGTCCTCAGCTACACAGTCATTGAGGCAGGCCAGGCTGGGCAACAGGAGCCCATGACTCAAAACAAAAAGAAGATAAAACAGAAAAAAATTAAATCAATCAAATGCATTTGGATATTTCTTTTTTTCCTTAGACAGGGTATCACTACTAGATAGCCCAGGCCAACCTCCAACCCAAGATCTTCCTGCCTAGCCCACATGAGTATAGGATATAGGCTCTTTGTATGCCTCTACTGACTGTACTGAGACACAGGCAAAACACAAAACAAAAAGTGTCACAATTTACCCTAGTACATATTTCCCAATGCCTGTTACCTAGATTAAATTTATTGATCTAAATTCCTTTTTAATACAACCCCTGCTTCAAAACCTATCACACTGGCCCACTATCTAACTGAAAGAAGACCAGGCAGAAGCAGCTGGGCACACCACACAGAGCCCCGGTGCATCGCTCCCTATGTAAAGAAAGGAGTCCAGACTGACAGGAAGAACAGCAAGTAGACTAAGCATACGTAAGACCGTTGACTGATTCATCCCAGAGCTCTGTTACCAAATTTCTTTGTAAACCCTTGTAAAACCAGGGAAAGGTATCATAAAAATCTACCAAGTATTACCACGGTGGTCTAGCCACTTCTTATTCATAAAAACCTACTAAATACTTGCGTCTAGTCAACACTGAAGTCAAAATGTCATTTTATAAAATACTATCACTGAGCTTTAGTTCTGCCTGGAAGTAGAAAGAGTGACAAGTACCTTCTGCCTGTTCCATCAAGTCTATTGTTTTATGTAAATACTTCTGGCCAATGGAAGAGATTCACTGCATTTCAGATATGCATGCATGCATTATGTATGTATGTATGTATGTATTGCATTATGTATGTATGTATGTATATATGAATGTATATAGGATTTTATTGTATAGGATATATATACATATGTATATGTATATATATATGCACATTTATAGATATAGATATAGATATATTCTATGTGGTAAGTTTTTTTTACACGTGGCATCATATTGACCCTAAGAATGTTCTAGATTTTGTAGCATTTAGATTTTAGACTTTCTGATTAGGATTATTTATGCATTCTGACAAGTAACTTGCACTCAGCTCCTTATCAATGAAGACAGAAGTGAAACCATAGCACTGAATACCCTAATAGGAATGGTCTGCCGCTGTCCACAGTGCTGACTCCATTATGACGTCGTTAACCTACCTCGTTCCAAGTCAGCACAGAGGAGTGTGGTAAGAGCATGTCCACGTCAACCAGCTCTGGATACACACTCCAGTAGGAAGAAGCTGAGAGTTTTTAAAAGAAACATGACATAATAAGAACAGAGAAAAAAAAAACATTGCAATTTAACCAAATCAAGTAAACCAATGATTTCACCACTTTATTCATGACTCTGAGGGTTAACTACAGCTTAAGATGCTCACGTTCTCTTTTTTACAATGAGAATAATATTTTTAAAAATTCATTTGGTACCACTTCTACTCAGATAATGTTATACCACTTATCTATAACCAACCAGCATAAAACAAGGCTAAGCAAGATGCATTTTGCCGAAAATTTTGTTAATGAGGTTAAAGAATCAAAATCTGATCTTATATCTCATCAATCTATGAGAACCAGAGCTTCTTGCAAAAGCCACCACAAGAGAATGAAATTTAATTAGCAGCTTATTGCCATGAAGTTTTTTTTAAAAAATCACTCCTAAGCAGCATTTTTACAGAGGCATTCCTTATCAATTTACTGATTTCCCTCCAGCAAAAAGGGTCCAGTGTCCAGTGCTAAGTGCAACATCAACAACACTTACCAATTAGAAATTCCTGAATGAGGTCAAATGAATGGCAGCCAGAGACATGTTCACAAACCCACTGAATAATCTTCAAAAAAAAAAAAAAAGATAAACCACAGAACCCTGTTGACTTTTAGATCTGCACTCAGTCCCACTAAAGTAATACAAAAACACACAATGAACAACACATACATGAATAAGCTTGTAAATTCTACATGGATTTTTGGAGTAACCTGAAAAATATACCAACTTCCAGCTTAAAAACCTATATAGCCCTGGCTGAGTATGTCAGTATGAGGTGCTTTTTACATATCCTTTTAACAGGGAGCTTTGGGTAGTATGCAGATAAAACTTCAATCCAATATGTGGCTTGTTTGTTTGTTTGTTTGTTTTGCAGGAATTGATGGTGTTACACAAAGAACCCATCAAGAGAGCTGCGGGACACAGGAGCAAAGTACAATGAAACTACTGGGTTTGGAGGCAGCAGCCTGGGCTTAAAGTTCAGTGCAGTTATCACTGTGAACATGGTCACACAACTTACCCATGAGGAGCACCTCTTTACTTCCCTTACAAGGGACACATGGGACCTCTGTCATGTCTGCAACTCTCTCACAGTTCTATCCTTGTGCTAACTGCTGGAGTTCTCATCTCCTACTTTACAGGTAAGACATGTCCAGCCATGGTTCACTCTCAACAGGATGCTTGATTCTAAATCTGTCTCGCCAGGTGACTTATTTTGCATGCCTTACCTGGCCTATACAAGAGTGAAGAGTAACAGAGCTCACACCTTTGATCCCAGCACCTGGGATCACACACCTTTAATCCCAGTGCTAGGGAGTTATATAAGACAGGAACAGGGTCTCAGAGCAGGCGTTCATTCTCCAGCCACATGGAGGATAGGAAGACACTGAAGTCTCAGGATTCTCCAGCCACACTGAGGAGAGGTTACAGTCTGAGGTTTGGTGGAGCCAGGATCCCCTTTCATTCTGAGGTAGAGTGAGAGCTAGTGGCCAGCTGCTTTGCTTTTCTGATCTTCATCTTGAAGTTTGAATTCCAATATCTGTCTCTGGGTCTTTTATTTATCGAGTTACACACAATGTTACTTCTGGCCTTCACACACATGTGCATAGGTGTGCATGCACACACATGTGTGTATACACACAAAGACACATGAATATGTATCCACAAGTACAAACCTCTTAGGAAGGAATAGGAAATCAGAGACAACATTCTGGGATTGGTTTTGTGGCACAAAATGACTGCAGTTTAATCAACTGGTTCACAGAGAACAGGCCTGTTCTACACTAAAGGTAAGCAGATAAATGTATATTTTTATGTGTTTTTTAAAAAGTGTGCTTTTTTTCAACTAACTAATCAGCCTCTAACCCCAGCTATCACTGATTGACAACAGGGTTTTCCTGATCTTATACGATAGCTTCATAAAGTAAATGACAAAATAGATAACACTTCATAAGCGGCAGTGTACAATACAAACTAAGCTATCTTATTAAAAATTAATAAACATTTGTCACAAGTGCTTATGCCTTTGGCATTTGTTTGTTTGTTCTGAGAAGGCTATGACAGGAATTAGCTCTATAGTTCAAGATAGCATCAAACTTAATATGTAGCCCAGGCTGGCCTTGAACTCACAGAAATGTCTCAGGGGCCACGGTCATGGTCGTGGTCGAGGACATGACTGAGGACGTGACAGCAGCCTCGGGGCTCATGGAGGTAAAGCCGAAGACAAGGAGTGGATCCCTGTCACCAAGCTGGGCCATCTGGTTAAGGACATGAAGATCAAGTCCCTGGAGGAGATCTACCTGTTCTCCCTGCCCATTAAGGAATCCGAGATTATTGATTTCTTCCTGGGTGCATCCCTAAAGGATGAGGTTCTAAAGATCATGCCAGTGCAGAAGCAGATTCAAGCTGGCCATCGGACCAGGTTCAAGGCTTTTGTCGCTATTGGGGACTACAACGGTCATGTTGATCTTGGTGTTAAGTGCTCCAAGGAGGTAGCCACTGCCATCAGAGGGGCCATCATCCTGGCCAAACTTTCCATTGTCCCTGTGCAGAGAGGCTACTGGGGGAACAAGATTGGCAAGCCCCACACTGTTCCATGTAAAGTGACAGGCCGCTGTGGCTCTGTGTTGGTGCGTCTCATCCCTGCCCCCAGAGGCACTGGCATAGTCTCTGCTCCTGTGCCCAAGAAGCTACTGATGATGGCTGGTATTGATGACTGCTACACATCAGCCAGGGGCTGCACTGCCACCCTGGGCAACTTTGCCAAGGCCACCTTTGATGCCATCTCCAAGACCTACAGCTACCTGACCCCCGACCTCTGGAAAGAGACTGTTTCACCAAGTCTCCTTATCAGGAATTCACTGACCATCTTGTGAAAGCCCACACCAGAGTCTCTGTTCAGAGGACCCAGGCTGCAGCTGTGGCCACCACATAAGGGTTTTTATACAAGGAAAATAAAGTGAATTAAGTCTGAAAACAAAACAAAACAAGAAAACACAGACATGGAGAGAAAAGCAGGTAGCTGAGAAACTCACTGTTGCCTGTGTGTCCTTGGAGGAATCTGTGCTTACAGTATTGGAAACCAGAAAAGTGCAACTGTAACATGAATACGTTGGACAAAGTAACAGTTCATAACCCCAGGCCAGGTGAAGCAGGATGGCACAAGATTTCAACACACTACTTAAAAGAGCATACCATGTAAAACATATGCATTGCTCCTTTGGGGGATTTTCCATTTAATAGTATTAAGCCAGAGTTGATGTAAGATAACTGAAGTCATGGAAAGTGACATGACAGATGAAGGGAACAACTGTACTCAACAGCCAGATGCATGACCTTCACAGTCTGGCAGACAGCCACCACTGCTACCGAGCAAAAATCACTTCTGATCATCTTGAAGCAACAAGAATGTTTGGTGCAGTCTGCTGTCAGTGTGCAGGCTCACACAATCTTCTCACCTGGTCTTCCTGGAAACCTGGGTCCTGACCACACGAGAGTGCACAGTGCAATGCAGCCATCTTCTCACAGTCCAGGTGGGCGGCGTTCCATAGGAACCACAGCAGGTACGACTGGTCAAGGGTTGCTCTATAGACCTTTCCAGAAGAGCAGTCCAGTATGAGGGACCCCGGCAGGGACTGTAAGGGACTGGGAGGTAGCACAGCAGCCATTTTGTTGTTTCCTAGCAAACATTAAAAAATAAAAATAAAAAGCAGACCATCAAATAAGAGAACCTCTCTGAGCCAGACAGTTGCTGAAGTCAGAACAAGCCCAAGTAGACTGCATTCATGAGAGACACCATACCTGTCAGAAACAGACTGTGGCAGATCAAGTCTGGGTGCTGAATATTAAGTAAATGAAGGAAATGGCCAGGGAAGTAAACAGCCACAAGGTATCCTATAGGAAAGAGAGATTGGAGTCATCCACATGTGATAAAAATCTATCTAGGTGCAGATAAACCCAAGAACAACACATTTTACTAGACATAGCAAACAGGATTTATTTGTTTGTTTGTTTTTATCAGATTGCTATGAGTATCGTCACCTGAGTAGGCAGATCTGACTGGCTTTGTGTGTGGCTCACCCTCTTTACAGTAAGTCATGGTTGTACTGTTTATGTCTGAGTGATCTGGAAAGAAATTAGTATAAAAATGTCAAGCAACATGAATGACTCCTCAATATGATATGCTGGGAACAGCTTGTAATAGGAATTTTTCTTCATCTTTTTGATGGTTTGAGGAAGCTATGAAATACGGTTTCTCATTCAGCATCATGCTTTTTTTTTTTTTAGGAAATTTGAAGATTGTATTTATCAAGAGCGTGTCTCTGGGAGCCTTGGCATTCTGGGCAGTACATTGGTTTTTCTGTGTACCTAGCTCCTAGAGTTGGCACCTTCATAGTCCCTATACATAGATATTTGCATAACCAGAACATGTACCCAAATTGTGACATATTATAAAAACAGGCTCCTAGAGTCTCAGAAAAACAGAGTAGTGAATTTCACAGAAGAAACTTCTGTTTCCTGTCAGCTGGCGGGGCTCCCTCCTCTAAGAGGCACACGCTGGTCTCTGCTGTGGAAGCACTCGTGGAAAGGGCAGGGTAGAGGATATAAAACTCCAGCCAATTAAAGTGTTCTTTAAGAAGACATTAAAGAACATAATGAAAGAATTACAAAGCTCGTATCATTGTGGCACTACTATTGCAGCAAATGAAAGAAACTGTCTAGAGGGACCTCCTAGAAACGGTATCCAGGGACCTGTGTTAGCTCCTAACACGGTGATTTAACCGATGTGTCATGTGGTGCTATGTCCCAGGCAAGAGGACATTTGAAAGGTACTGTGGTGTCATACAATCGTTGCGATAGTATGGGAGATTCCTGCTGATAATTGTTTAGTGGACTCTAGGGGTTTTCCATCCCTTGGTGTGTAAGACAGTCTGCCATAAAAACGAGTGCTTCTCCAAAATGTCAGTAGTTAGCTGACAGGGCCAACTGATGGCTCTTACTCATGCACTGATCTGTAGAGCCAGTGACTGTGTCGAGTTGTGACATTTTCATTACTTTAATTTATTTGTTTGGGGGAGTGCATATTGAGAACAACTTGTGGTGTCTTCCATCCTGGAACTGAAGTTAGGTCAGGCTTGCGATCGAGAGCCCTTACCTGTTGGCTGAGCTGTCTGGCCTGCCCTAGATTATCTTTTTGATTAAAGGTGCAAATGTGATTAGGACATTGAGATGAGGAGAGGATCCTGGGTTATGTGGCAACTCAGTGTGATCAAAATGTTACTAAGAGGAAGGGACAGAGGAACTTGCCTGCAGAGAGTGACCACATGGTGACAAAGCAACAGGAGAGGAAACTAGCCTCCAGATGCCGGAGGAGGCAGGAAGTAAGTTCCCAGTCCTGCCCATAACCTGACTTCAGTTTCTCAGCACACCTTTCCAATTTCTGAACTTCAGCCTGGGAACAGAACACTTAGGCTTCTTGAGCCTAACTTTTGTGGTCATTTGTTATACAGCGGTGGAAAGCAATAGACTGCCTCTTGAGAAAGACACTGAAAGGAACCTGGGCCCGAGTCTAACCCTTTCTCAGCCCCAGCTCCATTGTCTGTGTAATGGGGTATCTTTCCCAGGCAGAGCTGTTGTTAGGCTCAAAATTAAGTAAAATATTTAACATACACTCTTTGTTAAATGGTGTCTTTTTCTATAAGCCTGACTTACACAGATGTTGCTGTGTGGCGATTCCCTCCACGTTAAAACACCCTCATGGAGGGAAAGGCAGAGGCTCAGTGGTGCTCCTATAGGCCATCCCAGGAAACATACTGATTTACCACGATGGACTTGGGTGGAAACATTCCTTTGGTCTGTTGTTGCCCTATCTCCGGTGAAAAGGAATTTCTCTGTGTTTCCCCAGGAAAAATAATTTTACTGCTATCTATATGGGGTCCATAAGAAAAAAATTAAGTCTCTATTCATCAATCAATGCAAGCGCTTTTCAACAGAGTAATAATAAATGGAAATCATCAGCAATGGATAGCAAAACATACTACTCAAAAAAGTAACTGTTTTCATGAAAATTTCCTCAAGAATGGTTTAAATCGCCCTTTCCGCCGACTCATCACAGACCAGGTGAGTGACCCCCTGCTTTTACCCAACTCCTGTCCTAAGCGCCATTCACCCAGATCCCTCCAGGTTTGTCCCTGCTTGAAATAGACACGCCCAGGCAGGGAGGAGCTCCCTGAATCTGGGTACAGGCCACTCTTCCTTCTGTTCCCGGCAACCGATCCGCCAGGAGGTGAGTGATCCACCGCTCTTACCCAACTCCCTATCAAAGCCCCATCCATCCCGATCTCCCCGGGGCCTGCTCCTGCTTGGGGTAGACCTGCCCAGGCAGTGAGGAACCCCCAGAGCCTGGAAACACACCACTCTTACTTCCTGTCCCCCCACACACACACCGGATCCCTATGGAGGCCTAACTCCTTCAGAGTGAGGAGACTACGAGGAGAGGCAAGACCATCCAGAGCT